AGTTCTATGGAGGCTTTGGAGATTCTTTGAAACCCCAAGAATATGACATGGGATATAATTTTTGAAGCAAAGCAAACGCAACGTATAAACAGCACTGTAAGCTTACCATTTTATTTAGTGACAGGGGCTTTGATTGGCATTCAGAGTGCCTTAAAAAAGCATGCCCAGTTCCACATTATGAAGCAAGTTTAAAAAAGTCCTAAGTCCTGTTTATCAAACAGCTGGCTGGCTGACACTTTACTTTAGGTTTTTGAGAAATGTCACCAATGTGGCGCAGAGTTTATTTTACCATTGGTATTTTTCCATAGAACAGCTTACCTATACAATACCTGCAGTTTTCTTTTTTATACACATGGCCTTCTGTCTCTGAAAACAAGCCTCAAATTCCCAACTCTGCACATGAGAACAAAATACATGGTCTCCTAGAATGCTAATTGCTTGGGTCTTTTCTGGGTTCAGACCTGGAAGCAACATTCAGATTAAAAGGTGCAAACGAAATCTAAACTCCTAATGTGATCCCGCTAAAAGGTTTCTAAATGCCCATTTCAGTCAAACAGAAGGGAATCGAACAACTTACACGGCGTAGACATTTTGACTTCAATTCACAAAGGATTGCATTAGCAGTTTGTTGAAATAATTTGACTTGTTACCTGAAATTGCTCTTGAAAGCAATATGTGTCAGGGCTGAATTAGAGATTAGAGGTTTAACTGTGGACCTGTAGTTCTTTTGATAACCTAAAATATAATTACATCCAGTACTGCTGCTGGCATAATGTACTGTGGTGAATTCTGATGAGGCTGCTGAATGTAGCTGCTCAGACAAAATGAATAGGTGAGCACAGAAATGGAGCTGACTCGACAGACACGTTTGTAGATGACCAGTATCTTGAAGGCATGTTGTGCACTGAGCACACAGCACAGACTGAAGACTCCAGCTTGTGAATCAGCACAAAGGGATGACAGGACTTCCCTCCTGTGTCAAGTGCCATTATTTTTGCAGAGTAATGGAAGAATCCAAAGACATGCTTCCAGTTTCAGAGTGGGTTTTACTGACACTTCTATTTTGAAAATGACACATATGTGTGAGCTAAGATGTTTGTGTGTGTTTTTTTAACTAGATTAGTTGGCTACACGGTTGTTTTATGTGTTGATTATATGACTATCTTCTTTTATGAGGATATATTGTACAGAACGATCATTGATTAACATCTTTCTCATAAGCCATGGAAAGGGTTAAAGGTAGATGAAAGTATGCTTGAACCCTTACCTTGGAAAACAACCCATTCAGTTTAAAATAGAAAAACAAGGGAATTTTCTATGCCTGCGTAGGTTTCCTCTGGGTACTCTGGTTTCCTCCCACTTTCCAAAGATATGCTGGTAGCTTGATTGGTTCCTGTCTAAATTGGACCTTGTAGGTTCTGAATGTGAGTTAGGGACCTTAGATTGTAGGCTGCTTGAGGGTCAGGGACTGATGTGAATGTACAATACATATAATGTGCGTGTGATAGAGGTATGTATGTAAAATATGTGCGCGTGTATGTTTTCTTTTTCTATAAGTAATCACATGACCTCTTCTCAGCTGCACAAGTTTTTACTCTGTTTTTGTGGCAGATCAGTGGGAAAGTAGCCGAACATATTCCTTAATGCAGGAGTCCCTAAGCCCCTGGCCACGGACCGGTATTAGTCTGAGGCCTGTTGGGAACTGGGCTGCACAGGCAAAACAGGAATATTATGACTATAGCCGTGTAGGCTGAAATGCATCAGCTTGCTGTATTTGTGATACATGTACTGTGGTCTTTGCAATAAATGAAGATTTTAACAGCAGTGGCAGTAGTGTGGATCGTTTTCTTCATCAAACAGGAAGAAAGGCAAATCATAAATGAGGAAAATTAAAGTGTATATGTGTAATAACATTTTAAAATGTTATATTCACTTCTAAATTTAATGTTTTTTACATTAGTCTAGTCTAATCATATTAATCTGATGGATCTTGGAGTTTGAAAACTTGCTATTTGAAGAATCCCACACATCATATTTTTTTTTTTTTTTTTGTTTTTTTTTTTTTTTTTTTAATAAGCTTTTTATTCAAGTTCCACCAAAATACAAGTACAGGGGTGAGACAGCCCCTCCTCCCAGTAAAGGGTATGGAAAGAATGTAGAAAAGCATACAGAGCATGTCCACATAGAGTATACACCGATCAGCCATAATTTTATAACCAAATGAGGAAAGAACAAAGAGAGGGCGCACAGGCCTAGTGCATTACCATAAAAGTTTAATAAGAAATAAAATAGGTGTTGTACTCACAAACGAGAATAAAGTCAAGGAACATCATAAAAGAACAGCTGGGTCAACACCGCGCTGAGTAACAGTCCGCAATGGGGAGTGTAGACATCCAAATACTGACGCGTTTCGAGGACTTGCCTCTTCCTCAGAGGCAACTGACCAAATGTCTGCTCCCTCTTTTATATGCTCACTACTAGTTGAACCAAAGGTCACATGGGCCGTCCTGGACACTCCCCTATGCAGGTGGAGGAGTCACAGGGGCAATTGACATAGTATAAGTAAACACAAACTAGTGACAATCATAAAAGCTGCCTAGTGCTCTGCTTGCCATAGACAACCATCACAAGCAGAGCACTAGCCAGCTTCGTAGCGTTGCTCATCCATCCATTTAGTTAAATGCGAGCAGTGCAGTGCATCACCAGGGAAGGATTTTTAATCTATATATGTGTAACTTTCTACTTATTTATTTTTTCATTTTCAAACTTCTTATGGTTCATATGATTTTATGATTGTCACTAGTTTGTGTTTACTTATACTATGTCAATTGCCCCTGTGACTCCTCCACCCGCATAAGGGAGTGTCCAGGACGGCCCATGTGACCTTTGGTTCAACTAGTAGTGAGCATATAAAAGAGGGAGCAGACATTTGGTCAGTTGGCTCTGAGGAAGAGGCAAGTCCTCGAAACGCGTCAACCTATTGGATGTCTACACTCCTCATTGCGGTCTGTTACTCAGCACGGTGTTGACCCAGCTGTTCTTTTATGATGTGCCTTGACTTTATTGTCGTCTGTGAGTACAACACCTATTTTATTTCTTTTTAAACATTTTTTATGGTAATGCACTAGGCCTGTGCGCCCTCTTTGTTCTTTCCCCATTCAGTATATTTGGATTCCCCGGTCCATTTGAAGGCAGCAAGGTGTGCATGTTCTAGGACATTCTTAATGTGGTTGTAGCCTGCATCGAGTCCATCCCCAAGCGCAGGAGCATTTGTGTTTGCTGGTTCATAATTTTATAACCACCCACCTAATATTGAGTAGCCCCCCCCCTCCCTTTTGCCAACAAAATAGCCCTGACCCATTGAGGCATATACACAACTAGAACTCTGAAGGTATGCTGTGGTATCTAGTACCAAGACGTCAGTTGCAGATCTTTTAAGTCCTGTAAGGTAGGACCTCCATGCATCCTGGTGCCATCTCTTCCCCAGGTAAGTTACACAAACGCACAGCACCATCCACATGATGTAAAAGAAAACGTGATTCATCAGACCAGGCCACCTTCTTCCATTACTCCGTGGTCCAGTTATGATGCTCGCATGTCCATCATAGGCGCTTTTGGCTGTGGATGTGGGTCAGCAATGGGCACCCTGACCAGTCTGCAGCTACACAACCTCACACACAACAAACTGTGATGCCCATTTTCTTCTGTTTTCAACACAACGGCTTCAGGGCTAACATGTTTACTTGCTGCCTAAAATATATCCTACTGACTTCCAGATGCCATTATAAAGAGATAATTAACATTATTCACTTAAAACCTGTCAGTGGTCATAAAGTTATGGCTGATCAGTGTATATCATTGCAAGAGTGACACAATGTGACGTTACCGTCATGATCAGAGGCGGCTATGAAGGGAGACGACCATCTTCACCTCCAACAGAGAATTCCACACAATTACTTTCTAGAATGCTTTGATGCCTAATCTCTCTGCCCTGGGCATATGTGCTCTTGTGTCACACATTTCACAGAACCTGCCTTCTGAACGACAAAGGTGGAAATTCAGGAGGTGGAGGTGGTACATGAAACATAGCATGTGTGACCGCATCACTGTTTGCAGGCAGCGAGGTACCATGAGATATATGTAGTTCTTAAAAACTTTTTTCTTCTGAAGACTGTGTGTGTGTGTGTGTGTGTGTGTGTGTGTGTGTGTGTGTGTGTGTGTGTGTGTTATTCCTCTGTTGTTAATGTAGTGGCAGTAAAATATGGTCACTAGAGAAGTAGGGGCGTAAATGCAGCTAGCTTTTAAATGCATTCAGCTTGCATTTGTGATGTTTTTGAACTGTGTTCACAAATCCTAACATAAACAGAAAACTTTAATTTCCAATATTGATGATAATTTTTCTTTTGCATCCTTGATAGATATTACTCAATGAAATATAGTAGATTTGAGGAGAGAGCAGGCCTTTATTTTCTCCATTAGTTGTCCTCAGTCTTCTGAGTTGATTGACACCTAATGTCATTCAATCCTAAAGACAGAGGACTTTGTGTGTGTTGGGGGGCACCACCATGGCAGCCTGTACTCAGTAGTGTAGATGATGCAGACAGGGGTGCTTTTGTTCCCCTAGCAGTGGTGGTCCTAAATGGTAAAGAGCGGCATTGATGGTAAGTTGAAGTGTGATTGGCCTGAAGACATCTGGAAAAGGTGAGTACAAAATTTGTAAAGCTAAAAATACATGTGATGTGGGGTGGGTATTTTTACTTGCCTAATTTCAGGTCCCTTTGGTCCCATCAAGTGTTGCCCTGTGTTAGCCAGCAGTGAACACAAAATAGGGTAGTATATACATCTTTCTTGCACAGGCTAGGTGTTAGGAGGGGGGGAGGGAGAATTTTTAAGACTAGTTAGGTTTAACCTGAAAATCTACTTTAATAAAATGTATAGTTTGGTGATTTTTTGCTCCCTGTATACATTACAAATGAACAATTCCTGTTTTTTTTCTGCAGAATCAAATTTAAGTCTATGTGGATTTTCGGGGTTCATCATGTTTGGGATTACCTTTCAACCCATCAAAGGTATATTTCATTGCACATTTGATGTAAGGAAAGCAAGAAACTTAGATTCATAATGGTGCAACTCAACAAAATGACATTAACCCTGAACTCTTGGCATACAATATCAGTGTGGATGAATAGCAACAACCCTGAAATTTCCTGAAAAATGGCAACATAGATCATAAGCTCCTATATCAGTTGCAAGATCTCTGGTTTTTTTTATGCATAATTTTTAGGTACGTCAAAGTAGAAGACTGGCCTCACAGAGGGATGTGCAAGTCCTTCTTTTTTTTTTTCACTTAACCCTGCTGCAGAAAAGCAGGGCAAAGGGTTTACTTTTAATTGTGCGATTTTTCATGGCCGTTTTCAGTGCGGTTGTCCTAGCTGTGCAGGTCTTCCAGTTAGCCACTTCTATGTAAATCTTTCTTCCAGCCACTTCTATGCAAAACCGGCTATGAATCTCATTCTATGTGAACTGTTATCTCAGAATGCCACTATACTCAATGCTGTGTGAGTTTGGAAATCAAGCAACCTCCCCTTTTTTTTTTTTTTTTTTTTTCTTTTTTTAACCAGATCAAAATCTCACTACATAGATGTGAGCATCCTTCACAGAAAAAAAAATATATTTTCAGATGTCATGTGAATCAATGCCTTTTTAGTTCGCATCTGCTCTGCATCAGTGTAAACCAGGATTAAGTCTACATTCATGCCTAGGCATTATGAGATCACGGCAGAATTGCTGAGATTCTGCTCACGATCTTAAAAACGCATTACAATCACAAAACATAGGTTCAGGTGCCATTATTTTCAATGGCATTTAAAATGCAGTGTGGTTTTGCTGTGATTGTAGTAGCGTGATTTATCGTGTGGGCGGATTTCATGAAGCTTGTCACCTAAAAAAGGAACCGGATCTTCTTTTGGGTGGCTAGCTTTACATGATGCGATTTTCTGTGATTGCTGTGCAATAAATCGAGTGACAATCGTGGTAAAACCGCACCACATTTAAGGTGCAATTTAAAATAATGGTACCTGAACCTGCGTTTTGCGATTATAGTGCGTTTTGAGATCGCGGGCAGAATTGCAGTGATTCTGCCACAATCCAAAAATGCCCAGGTGTGAATGGAGCCTCACGGAGCGGACACTGGAGCTTGATTTGGCTGCTCAGCATGCTCTTGTACTGAGAACCTAAGTGCTTCCATGTGCAAGGGTAACCTGAAGGAATAAACTTTTTTTTTTTTTTTTTTTTCCCCCCTCATTGGGGGCCAGCGCCTCATTTACTCGTTCAGCAGATACTCTTCTGCTGACCTTTAGGAGAGCCTGACACTCCCCTTTCCTTTATGAGCATCCCAATCAGTGCTTGTCACACTGCATGGTCTCTCTCCTGCCTGCTAATCACCGGGTACGGTGCTGGAGACTAGCAGGGAAGTGAGTAGGAGATAAACAGCACAATGTTAAAACCATATTTAAATATGGTTCTGGATTTATTTATTTTTTTTTGTTTTTAATCAGAACAAATAGATTGTCATGAGGGACAAGTAGATTGGAACCCCAATTTAGTCCCTTGGGCAAGTAGATATGTAAAAAATTTACACATATTGCTTACAGATTTCACATGCAGTACCAACTCCCAGTAAAGTCTGGTATCACTTTACAGTCATAATATACAGTGCTTTGACATAGGGGGTTCTCTGTATTTTAGTGATTCAACTGCAGTCTGCTGTAAACAATATGAAGGTCATCCCACTGCTTTTTTTTTTTTTTTTTTTTTTCCCAACACATTTTTACAGTATGTAGGGACCCCTGCTTGTTGCCTCACTACAGGGCCCCATCCGAGTTGAGGGGTTAAGGAGGGGGCCCCTTCCACTCAGAAGCATCTCTCTGCTGTGCACCCATTTTGGTGCTCCCCAGGAAGCACAGGTGCAGCATCCAACCCCACGGTCTGTGGCATGCTGCGACTGGGCAGGGCTGAATGCTGTAGTGAGTGGTATTCGCATTTAGGGCCCTATTTGTCCTTGGATGCTTACGGCCCCAAACGTGAGTACAACTTGGTACAGCGTTCGGCAGCCTGCCATAGACTTTGACAGGCTCCAGGCAGCTGAGCTGGATGCTGAACCTGTTTGTTCTGGATGCGTTAAAATGCCAGGAGGAATGAACAGCAGATAAACACCCCCATGTGCATAGGGCCTTACAGTTTGCTGTTTTTTTGTTTTGTTTTTTCTCAGGGCCATGGAATCTATCATCCTTATGACAGCGGACACATAGCAATGACATACACAGCTCTGTCTAGCTTGCTGATACTAGGAGATGACTTGAGCCTGGTGAACAAAGAATCATGTCTTGCAGGTCTACGGGCCCTTCAGCTTCCAGATGGAAGGTATGCTTTTTTTATTGCCTTTCCTTGGTCATCCTTGAACTCCATTAAAATGGACCTAGAGTCAAGTGTTAACATAAAATTTATTTTAAAAGTATCCCTCAGATGGATGAATAGCCCAGCTTCAGGAACTAGACAAAATGTTCTTTTGCATTAGGGCCTCCTGCATTATAAGGGATACCTGCTCATTATGTCCAGGGGTACAGGAGTAAAAAGTAATACTTCATTCCTTGCTCTGTGTGATTGGTTCAGCACTGCTGCCTTTCTAAGGTGATTCCAGCTAAGGTTGCACTCCAGCCTCCTCCACGTACAATACATGGTTAATAGTGCTGCATTATACATGATGATGCCAAGTGAGTGGCCACAGACTAGAGTGCTGGGGCCTGCCAAAGTGTGGTTGAGAGAGTGTGTGTGTGTGTGTGTGTGTGTGGGTGTGTGGGGGGGGGGGGGGGGGGGGGGGGCGGGGGGGGGGGGGCGGGGGATTGGGTGGGGGGGGGGGGGTTGAGTGTTAACTAGTACAGTCTGTTTAGATCCTCCTAGACCTAATGATCATTTGTCCATAGCAATCCAGGGAGGTTGAGGTGGTAGATTGCCGGGGGTAGATGAGCTGCAACAACGTTTGCTACCACAGTGCATAGGTGTGGAGCCAGCCTAGTATTTGATCTCTGCTGACAGGGAGAATCGAGTAATTTTGATTTCTGATTCTTTTTCTTAGCAGAGATCACATGGCAAGGCTTACGTTAATGTAAGCCACATTGGATGAAACTTGAACAGCCTTTTTCACACTTGAGTGTTTTAGCTTGAAGCTTGAAGCTACAGTGGATATAAAAAGTCTACACACCCCTGTTAAAATGTCAGGTTTCTGGGATGTAAAAAAAATTAGACAAAGATAAATAATTTCAGAACTTTTTTTCACCTTTTTAATGTAACCTATAAACTATACAACTCAGTTGAACAACAAACTGAAATCTTTTAGGTGGAGGGAAATAAAAATAATAATATGGTTGCATAAGTGTGCACACCCTTAAAGTAATACTTTGTTGAAGCACCTTTTGATTTTATTCCAGCACTCAGTCTTTTTGGGTATGAGTCTATCAGCATGGTACAGCTTGACTTGGCAATATTTGCCCACTCTTCCTTGCAAAAACACTTCAAATCTGTCAGATTGCGAGAGCATCTCCTGTGCACAGCCCTCTTCAGATCACTCCACAGGTTTCCTATCGGATTCCGGTCTGGGCTTTGGCTGGGCCATTTAAAAACTTTAATCTTCGTCTAGTGAAGCAATTCCTTTGTTGATTTGGATGTATGCTTTGGGTCGTTTTCATGCTGAAAGATGAAGTTCCTCTTCATGTTCAGCTTTCTAGCAGAAGCCTGAAGGTTTTGTACTAATATTGACAGGTATTTGGAACTATTCATAATTTCCTCTACCTTGACTAAGGCCCCAGTTCCAGCTGAAGAAAAACAGCCCCAAAGCATGATGCTGCCACCACCATGCTTCACTGTGGGTATGGTGTTCTTTTGGTGATGCGCAGTGTTGTTTTTTGTGCCAAACATATCTTTTGGAATTATGGCCAAAACGTTCAACCTTGGTTTCATCAGACCAGAACACATTTTCCCACATGCTTTTGGGAGACTTCAGATGTGTTTTTGCAAAATTTAGCCAGGCTTTGATGTTTTTCTTCGCAAGAAAAGGCTTCCGTCTTGCCACTCTACCCCATAGCCCAGACATGAAGAATACAGGAGATTGTCACATACAACACAGCCAGTACTTGCCAGATGTTCCTGCAGCTCCTTTAACCTTCTGTCAATAATCCTGTGTGTGTGTGTGTTAGACTGCCAGGGAGGTTAATGTTGCTGTAAGGCTTCTTGCAGCCTCCCAGACCAGTTTTCTTATCTTTTCATCAATTTTGGAGGGACGTCCAGCTCTTGGTAATGTCACTGTTCCGCCATATTTTCTCTACTTGATGACGGTCTTCACTGTGTTCCATGGTATATCTAATGCCTTGGAATTTATTTTGTACATTTTCCTGACTGATACCGTTTAACAATGAGATCCCTCTGATGTTTTGAAAGCTCTCTGCAGACCATGGCTTTTGCTGTAGGATGCGACTAAGCAAATGTCAGGAAAGACATACTAAAACAGCTGAACTTTGGGGTTAATCAGAGTCACTTTAAATGATGGCAGGTGTGTACTGACTCCTATTTTAACATGATTTTTAATGTGATTGCTTAATTCTGAACACAGCTACATCCCCAGTTATAAGAGGGTGTGCACACTTATGCAACCACATTATTTTTAGTTTGCTTACTACCCCCCTAAAAGACTTCAGTTTGTTTTTCAACTGAATTGTACAGTTTATAAGTCACATTAAAGGTGGAAAAAGTTCTGAAATTATTTATCTTTGTCTAATTTTTTTTACATGCCAGAAACCTGACATTTTAACAGAGATGTGTAGACTTTTTATATCCACTGTACCTGTGTACCTGCAGCTTCTGTAACAGTTCCATCACGAAGGTGCTGAGTAAAAACTAAGGCACAAGAGCTTTTCTTCACCTGACATGCACATCTTATGCCAATGAGACAATAGAAGGGAGAGAATAAGTCTTCATCCTTCAGTCTCCATACAAAGCATTTATTAAATCTTTTCAGTAAAGTTTTCCCACTGAACATAATTTTTTTTCATCGGATTTCTAACATTCAGCATACATACTAGAAAACGCATTGCAACTAACTGGCAGTTTTATAGTGAATCAAATGCAAAAACATGTAGGTTCTGCTCAGGCTCTTGAGGATCCTAGTTTAAACGCCAAGCCCTGGGAATACCAGCCGGGAACAGAGCTCATCTAGGCTCCAGACCTCAATATTTAACAGAGAAAGTGTCAAATAAGCCGCACGTTGCTGCAAATCCATTGGAAGTCTCAGCCCAGGCTCCGGGCCCTCCTCCGTCCGGAGCTTAACACTTGCCTACTGGGCACTCGTACCCCCTTCCTTACCAGGCCAATTTTCTGCGCTGTCACACTTTGAATGACAATTGCGCGGTCATGCAACATTATACCCATATGAAATTTTAATATAATTTGAAATATAATTTTTTTTGTCACAAATAGAGCTTTCTTTTGGTGGGATTTACTTGCCGCTGGGTATTTTACTTTTTGTGCTATAAACAAAAAAAAGAGCAAAACATAAAATTTTGCAAACAGGTAATTTTTCTCCTTCGCTGATGTCATTGATGAGGCAACACTGATCGACACTGATATCCAGCACTAATTAGGCGGCACTGAATGGTGGCACTGACTGGCTGCTGGGCACTTGTGAGTGGAACTGGTGGGTGGCACTGCTGGGCACCGATCATCAGGGCACTGTTTATCAGTGCCCTGATGATCGGTGCCGATCCCTGCTCTGACAACTGCCGGTTCTCAGCAGTACTTTCCTCACGCTCTGACAGCATGAGGAAAGTGCAGCCGAGAACCGGCAATTGCATTTCCTGGTGATCAGCATGTCATTGGACATGGCTGATCACGTGGTAAAAGGCCGCTGTGATTGGCCTTTTACCACATCACGTGATCAGCTGTGTTCGTAGAACACAGCGATCATGGAGATTGCCGGGTGCGCACCCCCACGGTCACGCAGGCGAGCTCGTTTTGGGAGGCCATCATATGACGGCTTCCCAGAACTGGCCGGCCACAGTGCAGCTGTCATTTGGCTATCTGCGGTCAGCAATTAGTTAATCATGGGGATCATGTTTAAGCTCCGGGGTGGTGCGAAACGTGTTTGTGGCCTGGCCAGAGCCCAAGCTGAGGCTGAACTCTTTCACAATGGATTTGCAGCAATGTAGGGCTTATGGGACACTTTCTCTGCTACATATTAGCAGTTTTGTAGCTTGCAAATTACTGGGATATGTAGAATCTGATTGTGAGGTTAGGTCACTGTTTCATGTAACATTCTACACATCAGATGGCTTACACACTTGTCTGTTGCTAGATAAAAAAAAAAAAAAATTTACTTTTTTTTTTTTTTATTCTCCCCCCCCCTAACAGTTTCTGTGCAGTACCTGAGGGCAGTGAGAATGACATGAGGTTTGTGTACTGTGCCTCCTGCATTTGCTACATACTTAATGACTGGTCAGGGATGGATATGGAAAAATCAATTGAGTACATTAGAAGAAGCATGGTATGTACCATTTATATGTACTGTGTTTTTTGTGTTGTTGGTTTTGTGTTTTTGTTTTTGTTTTTTTTCAATAGCATACAGTATATTTTTTGTCTAGTGTGTTTATATTCATCATTTTTTAAAATGTAAGAAAGAAGAAAGTGTGTAGTGGGACTGCAGTCAGGTGAGGTTTCTAGAGTCTTTAATTTATCTACAGTGATGCATTCCCCCCCAACTTTTTTTTCTATTTTAATGTAATGTCAACGGCTAAGTTTACCTTTTGGAAAAAATATTAAATGCACATTATTTTGTAGAAACAAAGGTGCATTTTTCCCTCAGGAGCCTGCGAAGCATTGCACCCATGATCAGTGGATCAAGGGTGCAATGTCAGGCTCCTGCAGATTTCAACCTGTACCTTTTTGATACAGCGGGTGCAGGGAGAAGATCCCCCACTTGTGGTCACAGGGTGGGGAGAGTTGAGGGTGTGGGAGGCAGGTCAGGAGTATTATGCCCTAAAAAGTGAACTTATCATTTAAGTACTCTTAAGACAGTGGAAGGAATATAAAACAATGCAAAGGAAAAACTAAAGGGAGAGGCAAAATCTGTAACCAATGCAAATGCTCCCTGTCCTTTTCAGTTTTCTCTTTGCTGCTCCTTCCTTATTTGTTTAGCTCACCAGAAGCACCCCAGTGACTTGCTTCCTAAATATCCACTTCCCAACCTCCCTATAGCAGATGTACTACTACAAGGTGGCCGATCTGTGCAAAATCACATATATGTGTATGTGTGAGGCTGCATATTTGCGTACAATTTTTAAACAAACGTGCCGAGAGAGTGCGTGCTCCCAGCGTGTGTCTCGGCATCCCAAGGAAAGGTCCCGATCTCTTCTTGCGATCGGGACCCTTCTGATCATGTGACCACCATGGCAGCCAATCATGACAGTCACATGACCCTAAACCGCGCCTCTCCAGCATCAGAAACCCCTTAAAGGGTCGGGAGGCGCCGGTGCAAAGGGGTTAACCCTTCCCAGCCAGTGCCATTAATACAGCGACAGTGTATATTTTTAGCTCTGATCACTGACAAAGTGTCAGCGTCAGAGTTTACACCGCAATATCAATTTTCTGCTATAAGTTGCTGATCGCTGCCATTACTAGTATAAAAAAAAATTCCAATGCGTATACTATAGTTTGTAGATGCTATAACTTGCTCAAACCAATCGGTATACGCTTGGGATTTTTTACCAAAAATAAGTAGCAAAATACATATTGACCTAAATTTTTTTAAGAAATTTAGATTTAATTTAATCTTTTTTGACTAGACTTCTCTTGTGGGTCGCAGGAATACATTTACTGTTGTCCTCCTGTGACCCAGAGTCAGTCTATTGCCGGCAATCAGCTGATGAGGCAGAGCCTTGGCAGGCTCAGGAAGGATACCAACAATATTGTTGGGATAAACTATGCTGCCTGATTGACAGCTCCCCAGCCCGGCATTACAGAGAGCCCTGGGGAGCAGAGCGGTGAACTGACTGGAGCAGACCAGGACCTGAGTGATCTGTGTGACAAATGCAGCGTGGAGGGGAGTATGTAAGTCTAATTTTACTTCTGCTGTACCTTTTAGGAGTTAGTTTAAGGGTTTAGCTTGGATTCTGTGAAAAGTTCAGGGGTTAGGTTAGGGTAAGAATATTTTGATAAACCGTACTTTTGGGAAAACATTTTTTTTTTTGGTGTGATATACTTTTTGGGTTCCTGCTGACAAAAGAATTGTGTCTTACTGACCATGTCAAAACCATGGAATCGGTTCACTCTGACCGTCTCCTTTCCACCCCTTCAGATCCCTTTGCTCCTGCTCTGCAGGATTGGAATGAAGGGCATTTTGGTGATTCCCACTGCACCTAATTGGCTCAAGAGAACATGGTACTCAAACAGACTCATGACAAACTTTCGTGTGCGATCCTGGATCATCTAGACCTGCTGTCACTACACCATCCTGTTTCTTGGTCATGTGTTGAGTCTCTTGAGGTAGTGGCCTAAGGTTCCTTTCCTTCCTAAGGTGGTCTCTTCATTCCACTTTTAACCAAAATACTGTTCCTCACTCCCTACATCCTATACCAAACATCCAAAGGATGTTTCTCTCCACTGGCTTGATGTGGTTTATCACTCAGCCACTGTCTCTTTTAGGCAATCAGATTTCCTCTTTGGTTTTTCCAGAGTTCTTGCTGGGGGCTTCCTTCCTTTTCCTCCACTGCAAGATGAATTGGACAAGTCATCATTTGAGCTTATAGCCTGAAGAATGGGGTTCCTCCATTTCTTGTTAAAGCACACTCTACCAGATCTTTTAGTGCTTCAGGAGCCTTTCAGCATCCGTTGTCCTTCTCAGATTTGCAAAACTGCTTCTTCTGATCACACAGTTTAAGTTCTGCAAGGTGGATGTTGAGATGTTTAGACTTTTTCTGATGCCACTTTAGGCGCAAGGTGCTATAGGCTGCAGTCTGATTTCTTTTTAGCCCTTCTTGACCTTCATCCTGTTAATTCAGTTGCCTTAACACTCATCTTTGTGTGTCAAGGTAACAGATGTACAATTGTATGTGATCTATATATAAATCCTGTATATAGGACAATGCAGTATTTTGACTTTGCATTTTATCTATAATTTTTTAGTTTTTAAATTATTTGCTTTTGCAACTGCCCCTTGGCATTGAGTTTTGTCATCTTTGGCCATTCAGTGTCCACAACGATGCCATATTATAATGACTGCACAACAGAGCCTGTGTTCTGTGGCCTGTGTGCAACAAAGCCTATAGCTATGTGGTTAGATAAACACTGGAGGAATCTTTAAATGGCTGTTCTATTATTAGGTGTGTAAAAACCATAACACAAAACCCTGCAAACACCATGAAGCAACTGTTCTAGGTTAGTTCTATCTGATTTATATGCAACTTTTCCAGACTACAAGAAGTTTGAAAGTCTGTAATCTGTATTTGTGTGATACACAAGTACTTTTAATGCCATTAGTAGCGTATTACATTTTGCTTAATGGACTCTGTTAAGTATGCAAATGGAAGATTGTTCCTCATTTTGCGTATGGCGCTGGATCCATGTGTTTTGCATTGTATTTTCAAAATTAAAGGTTACCATGACATGTCTTTTGAATGCATACAGTGCTGCATTGTTTCATTTACTGTAGACAGAGGCTAGAGTGTGGTTATGTATTTCCATGGATTACATTTTTGTTACATGGGTCTATATTTACCAAGTTGTAATTTGCAAGCCACTGAAAAGAAGTCATAGTTTTCAAAAATAGGCTTACTTGGTCATTATTTGCAAACCACTCTGTGCTGTATGGAAATACTTCCACAGAACAATGAGTGTTTAATTTTGTACATATCATGGTGGATGTGGAACCTGATGGGTTCTTAAGTGAAGTTTACAAATATGCCTGCTCCTATGGGACAATTCAAGTGCTGTAATATCCAGAGATAAGCAGTGCTTGACTCAGTCTAAAGTGTCGGTTGATCCTTGTGACATCTGCCTTTGGACTAGCACAACTGTACACACATACAGTATGTGTTTAAGTGTGATCAGTGATCCGTATTTCTTTTCCATAAGTAGCTGCTTAAGGAACATACGTTTCTGGTAAACTGCTCTTTAAATTGCTATAGAGACATATGTCTAGTGTCATTGCACACCTTTTTTTTTTTTTTTTTTTTTTTTTTTTTTTGTTAATTTTATTATACTTCTGCAAATTGTTTTTTTTTTTCACATTAACACATTTCAGTATGTTCTTGTGTTTAAAACATCCTTTCCATTGGGGTCAGTCAAAGCAAAATGACCCCTTAGCTGCATTTCAGCTTCAATTTGCTTTTCAGGAACTGTCCACTGATGTAACGCCCTGAAAAACCTGAACTATTGGTTATGGAAACAACGTGAACAGTCTTTCCTCCATAGCACAATGAGCAGCCTATTATCAAGTCCTGCACTTTGAGCCATGCCAAGCTATATGCAAATGATGGGTTTCAGAAAAGTCAATATTTGCATGTCACCTTGGGGGTTGAAGTGGCAGATTGGGGTAGCAGTTAGACTTCGTAAAAGGTACCAGAGGTTGTGTGCTATGCAAATTTTGGGATCGCTTTGCATTCTGTAACAGCTCGAAAGGTTTGCTTTAGGAAAATGCAAATTAAATTTCAGTACATAGTTCAATTTTTTACAGAATATGCATTAAAGTGACACTGAACAATATCCTTATTATCCAAATATAATCCATACACAGCCACTGTTTAATGGCCCTGTAATATCCTCTGTGTGCTCCCAAGAAGCTCCCTTTCCCTATCACTTCCGTCTTGTTTGTTTGGATTGAACAGTGTGCTTTAGTTGTGGTCATGTGCATTGTTCTATGTACAGTAAAATCCCATAGTCTGTCAGGCGCAAGCTATGGAAAGCAAATCAGATCACAGCTATAAAAAAAAAAAAAGGAATTTGAGGTTAAGAAAAAAAAATACTTAAATACATTTTTTAAAACCATAATGTATTGTCATTTATGAAGCTAAAATCGCCTTTGCTAAATGTTTTTGTTTTGTTTTCTCAGTCATATGAAAATGCACTGGGCCAAGGAGCTGGGCTGGAAGCTCATGGTAAGATGTCTATACATATTATGCCATGTTTTATTTGTGATTTTATGTTTTCTGCTCTGTCTTGTCTTATATGACCTGTTCATTTAGAACTGCTGTGAAGACCTTTATAAACTTTCTGCTCCCCCCTTATTTTTTTTTTTTAACTTTTGCTTCTAGAGTTCTAGTCATCAGTATTGCCCTTGGTCTCCATGAAGCTGATTTTTTTACCCATGTTGACTTACCATGCTTTGTTTGCACTGTCTTTGTGGAGGCAGCTATCTTGGTAGAGGCAAGGTCTCTGTTTAGACATTGCTCCTTACAGATCTGTTCATCTATGCTCAGGCGTTTTTAATTTCCAGCCTTTTTCTAGCTATTTCTGCCCTGCTACAGCCCAGAATTTTCCTGTGACCCTACTGATGTGGAGAGTGTCCTTGAAGTTATTTAAGCACCAGCCTATGAACAAGCTGATGCTGTGTCTTTACCAGCTACCTGTGACCAATTGCTTTAATACTGAAGCCTGTTACCTCTTGTTAAAATGCAATTCCAGGCTATTGCCTACCTATGTTAAAACCTGCCTAATTATCTTCCTTCTGCAGGGCAGTTAGAACAGGATTACGAAGAGGGGTGGGAGCAGGTTTAAGCATAGTGAGGCAATAGCTTGGAATTCCACTTGAACCTGACCTCTCTTGTCTCCTGCCCTGTTTAATGTCTACTCATTCCGGATTGTGTGACTACTCTCTGGTTACCACCTGCCAATACCTGTGCTTGTTCCTGACTGTGCTCTAGTCTACTGTCTCTGCATTGTAGCCTCTGTGTCCCTGCTCACCCTTTGGGATGATTCTGAGGGCTGTGACCTGGTAGCACACTGTGAAAGCGCATCCCCACTATTAGGAGCTATGATGAAACCTGGCTGATTAGATTCCGCACCTCAGATGTGATTTCTTGTCCCACCGTTGACCTAGTCATAACAGTTTTGCTTTTTCGTGTCAGAGCCTCCAGCATGAACAGTGTGGCATACAGCAGTGACATCACAAAATCTACTTAAACTAGCAGTGCCTCCTTAGACAACAGTGCCTTAGATCTTACATTGTTGATATATAGCAAAGAGGCTGAAACCACAGGACCTAGGCACGTCACCTACCAGGAAGTGAACTGCTCATTTTCAGGAAGTATTCAGAACAAAAGAGAAATCTTTCTGGGTACAGCTTAGGTACAATTTCTAGGTGTTCCCTGTAACATAGCATGTCTTCTTTTTTAAAAAGTGTTTCTAAGTTTAAAAAAAAAAAAAAAGAAAACCCTTTCTAATAATTTTTATAATGTGTAGCTCTAAAAACGTTATTTGTAAATTTCTTTAGCAGTCTTCAGTCACCAGCAGTGTGGGGGCAATGATCTGGAATCTCATAGAACCTCTGCATCATTGCCACCACACTGTGCATGCTTTCCTTCTTCTGCGTAAGTAAGCTGTGTCTACACATGGCTTACTCTGAAGGATATTCCCTAACTTACTATGGCTGGGGCTATGCTGTTGCGAGTCACATAACTTGTGACGTCACCACAGCTTTTTCAGGCCCCCCCCCCCCCCCCCCCCCTTGGCCCTGTAAAGTGTATTGGAGCAGTCAGTCAGAATGTTATGCGCCCAAAGGTGTTGGTGGGTTGGTCACAATTTTTACAGAGATCTCCACTCTGCTTTACACAACCTGGGAGGAGGGCTTGAAAAATATTGCTGGGGTGATGTCACAGGACATATAACCTGCTTCAGATTAACCCCCAGCGTGGGATGTGCTGCAGGGGAGAACAATAGAAAAGACACATGACCTCCAAAGTATAGTGAGAAAAAGGTATTTAAAGGATAAGTTCACCTTTAGTAACATGTTAAGGTTTAACAATGTATGGTTTAGTGCTACCCTTTCAATACCTATAAATCCTATATTAAATGGGGCAGCACAGTGGCTAAATGGTTAGCACTACCGCCTGACAGTACTAGGGTCATTAGTTCAAATCCCAACCACAGCAGCACCTGTGTGGACTTTGCATGTTCTGTTCTCCCTGTGCCTGTGTGGGTTTCTTCCGGGTACTCTGGTTTCCTACCACACTCCACAGACATGCTGGTGGGTTAATTGGATCCTGTCTAAATTATCCCTAGCATGTGTATGTATGAATGTGAGTTAGGGACTTTAGATTGTATGCCCCCTGAGGGTTATGGACAAATGTGAATGTACAATATATATGTAACGTACGCTGTGTAAATTGACAGCGCTATATAAGTACCTGTAGTAATAATAATAACGTGAATGCTAAAACTTTGCTAAAAATAAAGTGAATCAACTAATAAGTGCAATATTAGCCATTTTCTACATACAATATATGTCAAAACACCTCATTATTAACATCACAAAGTGCAAAAAAAAGTGCATTCAAACATTAATAGTATGAGAGTCCACAATCTCAGTGCTGCAGATCATCAGATCCTGGATCAATCTGTCCAAAACATACACCAGTAAAGTTGCTGCTTCTTGACAAGTGTCCACAAACTCAATGTTAGTCTGTGTATACCGATCCCAGTGTTGGTGGATACCAGTCCCAGTGTTTGTGCTACACTTCCCTCTTCACATATAAATGTGCTCCACCACTTTGTGAATTTAGTGCTCACCTCTCACAGGCCCATAGTTCTTAATGCGCTCAGTACTTCCCCTGGGCTTAGGTTTTTTCTCCTCCGCTTCTGAGGATGTTAACCTTATAGTAAAATGGAGGTCTACAGTGCTTTTTATGACATTTCTACTTTACTCCGCATCCTTTCACAAGTCTTCCTCTGCAGGCATTATGAATAAACATGAAAGCACTGGACAATGTTACACCTTCAGTCCAGACCTCAAAATGTGAAAGAGGGCAATAGCACTTGTATCCCTTTAAGGGAAAGTAAGGAAACCAATACAGCCTTAGCAGCGATCCCACAGAGCCATCCAATGTTCAGACATGGATATAAGCCAAGTGCAGCACATATAAAACAAAACGAATTGACATAGTGCTTACAATTGTTTAACTGAAGAAAGTAAAGTTAAGAGTTAAAAAGAAGAGTTAAAACACTCACAGGATTATAATCTACAAAAGTATATCAGAAACAGCCAACACCGATGATCTCTCCACTTCTCGGTACAGCTCTCCCTGTCCTCCAGCAGCACACATCAACCACACAGCTCCGTCCTTTGACACATATCAACCAATCACGGGACTTCGGCAGAAAAGTTGCTTTAAGGTGTAACATGTTACTAATACAACAGCCCAGCTCACCCCCCCCCCCAATACCCTACTCTGACAGTGGGTAGGGGATCCTCTCCTGGCACCCGCTATCACAATTTAAATATAGTGGCTGTGTGAGTCTCCACCCAGACAGCGATCTGTGACTGAAGGAAGTACAAGTCCCTGTGGCAGAGAGCTTATAATGAACTACCTGGACGATCGAAACCTTCATTGTTCACTGACACTTCCTGCATCTGAGTAACTGTTTGCTTGTATTGAGGTAGGGGCAGACAACTGTCAGAAGTGTCTGCATGAGCCTGGCTTTGCTTCTGTGATTTACTGATCCTGGTGAAAAGTTTTGCAGGCTCCATGGTAAAAAAAAAAAAAAAAAAAATTTTTTTTTTTTTTACCTGAAAAATCATGCATTTGTTTTGTTTTAGGGCTTCGCCCTTAACAATAAATTCAAAAATATTTTTAATGTAATCGGTGGCTGCTACTGTGCCCCATCATTTAGATGTGGGAGCACTAGCAGGGCTTGGAACCACTTTACGTTCAGGTCTACCTGTCAAAGGTAAATGATTGGCTTTGGACCATTTTATTTTAATGTTTTTAATTTCTAGAGCTAAAGCACAGAAAAGCAACTCTCAAAGCAGTTGGCCCCATCTGACTTGAAAGTTCCATTTGAGCTGTCTGATAAGGGATGACTCACTTCTTCTATGACTCATTCAGTTCTTTGTACAAATTTCAGCTTGGACTATTGATCTCTAGAAATAACAAGGTTTGATTTTTTTTTTTTTTTTACAACACTGATCAGAAGAAACCAAGAATATGTGAAAAGTGGCCTAGAGTTTCACTTGCTATCAGGATAAAAAAACTTCATAATATTTGTGTAGTGCATTTCATATTTTACCAAGATATGTACTTTAAGTTATCTTTAAAACAGCACTATATCCCTTTTGCCCCTATTGCTGTGTATTCTTTCTGTCTATGCTGATATCTTTTGCGCCTGCAAAGGTAAAAAAAACACCAATTCCCTTCTTTCTAATGCCACTCTTCATTGTGGAATGTTAGATTCAGTAATGTTGTCATTGGTCTTAAGCCATTTCACTCAGGAATCCTAAAAGAGCAAGTAAAATGTGGGAATGTTACTTTTTTACTGCCCTGCCAAGATGGCAAATCTTTTTATCTGTCCAAAATTGGAAATGTATTTATGTGAACAAATATCCAAACAAGACCTAGTAACTTAGTTTTGAAAAGCTGCCCATCTGTGCTTCCAAAGAAAAGAACAGAGTTAACCATTTGAATAGTATAAACTACAGCATGTCCTGGCATCACAGACTAGTGTTTCTGGTACTACAAACTGCACATTTTCTACCTTGCAGTTGGGGTGCTGCGAGTTCCACCATCATTATTCAACCCTTTTGCCATTTGTATCACAGCATTATTTTTCTTTGTCTGTGAAACTACAAATTCCAGCTTTTTTAAGCAATATCTATAGTCCTACAGGAACAAACTTGCCCAAAAACACCTTACCTCATACACTACTGGCCCTTTCCTGGTCACCCATTTCTCTTACCCGTGTATTTTTCCTAAAAAATTCATTCAAGACCATGTTGCACAAATGATCACACACCAATGAATGTCTAAGGAGCAAAGCTAAATTTTAGACAAAATCCTAATTAACAAGAATTCAACTACAGGTGATTTTAATTATTCATTAAACAGGTGTCCAGTAGACAGTCGATTATAAAAGGGCGTTACTTGACAAAGAAAACCCCTTCCCATTTCATGATGTCAGCAATGGCACCACATGGAAAAGAATTGTCACAAGGCCTGAGAAAGAGAAAATAATTTCTTTATGCAAGAAAGGTGAAGTCTACAAGAAGATCGGCAAATCTTGACTTATCAGAATACTGTAGCAAAAGTGATACTAAAATTTAACAACTTCTGTGAACTGCCTAGATGCCTCTGTGAAATTGCAGTTCCATCTTTAACACCTCAACAGGAGCGTCTTCTGATGAGAAGGGTTGAAGAAAATCGCCATGCACGTTCACTGCAGTTGACTAAAGTAGAAGAAGCCAAACTGAGGTGAATGTTTCACGTGACACAATACAGCATACACTGCAGAGGAATGGCATGCATGGGTGTTGTCGATGAAGGAAGCCTCTCCTAAAGCCCATGCACAAAAAACGCACCCACCTAGAATTTGCCAGGGCCCACGCTGAAAAAAACTACTGGGACTCTGTACTCTGGATTGATGAGACCAAGATAAATGTTTTGGATCTGATTGCTTCAAAACTGTATGGCATCGCAAAGGTGAGGAGTACAAAGAAAAATGCATGGTGCCCACAGTGAAAAATGGTGATGGCAGTGTCCTTCTGTGGGACTGCATGAGTGCTGCTGACGTCAGGGAGCTGCATTTCATCGATAGTATCATGAATTCACAGGTGTATTGCTCTATATTGAAAGAGAAGATGCTACAATCACTCTGTGCCCTTTGGTCGTCATGCACTTTTCCAACACGACAGTGATCTAAAACACATCTAAGGCCACTGTTGCATTTCTGAGGAAGAACAGGGTGAAAGTGATGCAGTGGCCAAGTATGTCTCCTGATCTGAACCCAATCGAACTCCTAGGGGGAATTTTTAAGAGACAAGTAGAGCATCACTGTTCAACATCTTTTAAAGCCTGTGCTTCCAGGCTTTAAAAGATATTGTTCTTGAAGAATGGAAAAAGATAGATGTTGCAATATGTCGCCAACTTGTTCATTCCATACCTAGAAGACTTGGTGCTATACTTACAAATCATGGAGTTCATACAAAATACTAGATGTCGTTTTTTGTTGTGGGGGTGTATTCATTTTTGCATGAACTAATTTGAGTAAAACTGAAGATTTTATAATCTAAGTTTTATATTAACCTTACTTTCATGTACTGAGCTAAACAAATGTTCTATAAAAACTCAATTTTGTCAAAATGTTGGAAATTGTTCGTGTTCATTGAGATATTGATTAAAATTTTTACTTTTCATAAGGGGTATACTCCTTTATGCTGAGCACTATATATTTTTACTGCAGGGTTTCTCAAGTCCAGTGTTAAAGTACCCCCAGCAAGATCTGATTTAAGGATATTTTTTTTTTTTTTTTTTTTTTTTTTTTTTATTTTGCACATCTGATTTATTTGTTACTGTCTTGTAAACACAGAAAATTCTGAAAACCTGATGAGAGCATTGGTTGTGAAATCCCATTGCATTTGAAAATGCTTGAGTATATGTAATGTTCAGTCTAGCACATGAGTGGAACAGACAGCCTAATCGGCGTCCTATTGTCAAGCAGCCTGCCTAGTGACCTCCTAATGTCAGTCCGGTCTCTGCCTCTCTGAGCCTGGTCGTCTGTTGTTCCTCCTCCTTATGGTCTAGCCCTCCAATCCTTCACACTACCTGACCCACTAATTCTCCTCATGACTTGCACTTTTGATTCTGATTCTCCTCATGGCCAAGCTGTCTGAATCTCTTCCTCACTGCGGTCCAGCCTTCTGATCCTCCTCCACACCCTTCTCTTACTTGTGACCTGGGCTTCTGATCCTTCTTATCCTGATCTTCTTGCGGTTCAGCCTTCTGATGCTTCTCCTCTGAAAGCTAATGGTCCGCATCAGACTTTAGCAAATTGTAAAGCTACTCATAAATGCGAAAGGAAAATTGGCCAGAGTGAACACTTTTGCAGGATCAAGCAACAATCTTACATCTTTAAGTCCTCGGAGATGTCACTGACCAGCTAGCATCAGGGGATAAACATTTTGCACTCTAATTACACAGTTAAGTTCTTTGATCCCCCTTCAAATGGCCTGGACTTCTGATCCTTCTTCTCGACCCGCTTTCTGATCCTTCAGCTCCTCATGGTCCAGCCTTAAGATCATCCTTCTGCTCAAGGCCTGTCATTCTGATCCCCTTTCTCCTTACGTTCTGACTTTCTGATCCTCCTCACAGCTTGCCCTTCTAACTTCACTCCCCTCCCCCCATGGCCCAGCCTTTTGATCCTCTTCTTTCACCTCCTTATGGACCAACCTTCTGATCCTCCATCTTCTCATGACCTTGCTTTCTGATCCTTTTCACAGTCCAGCCTTTTGATCTTCCTTCTCCTCATGGCCCAACCTTTTGATCTTCTGCTTTCTTCCCCCCAAAGTTTGCCTATAGGTGTGAGAGGAAAGTTTGACCATTTTTGCTAGATCAGGCAACAGTCATATATTTAAAGATGGCTACACATTTATACAATTTTTTTGTTCAATTTCCATTAGATTTACCTTCAAGTATGTAGTGTAAGGGCCTGCCTGATTGCATACAATTTTAAAAGTGTTTAGGTTTGACCTCATATTATATGGTTTTGGTAAATCTATAAGGAAATTGTAGAAAAAAATTGTATAAAGTGTATCCAACTTTAGTCATCACAGATGCCACTGTAGCAACCAGTATATCCCCTCCCTTATTTGATTTAAGCAGTGCTGGCAGTGACTTGGCAGACTTGTTAATTTAGCAAAGGCTACCTTGTAACCCTTTATGCTAGACAAGTTATTTTAGTAGCTCAGTCATGCTACTAAAAGATTAGCAATCTTTTGCTTCGCTTGTGGAGCAAATGACTACTAATTTCAAAACTGCAGAAGTGGTATGCAGTAGTGATTCCATGCTCTAATAGCTTACAACATGTGAACACGTGGAGCTCTTGTTCCACAATTAATCACTAGCCACTTCAGTAGCATAATGTAGCTACTAAAATAATCTGTATGTCTCTAGTCCTAGGTTTTGTTTTCTGAGCCAAGTCAGATCTACCAGCAAGTTTGATTGCCCTCTAAAATCTATGCTCATTCTGAACCACCCATGTCATTGATAGTAATAACTATAACTGGAGTTGCTGGAGGCTTACACTTCAAAACAAGAACAATTATAACACAAACAAATCTATTGGGCGTAGCCGGGTTTTTCTTAAGGTTGTATTTGCAACTTGTGTTGAATGATATATTTATTTTTTTTTCTCCTTTGATCAGGTGGTTCCACGTTTTGCGGAATAGCTTCTCTTTGTCTCATGGGAAAGCTTGAAGATGTATTTTCTGAGAGAGAATTAAACCGAATACAAAGATGGTGCATTTTGAGGCAACAAAATGGTTTCCATGGTAGACCCAATAAACCAGTTGATACGTGTTACTCCTTTTGGGTGGGAGCAACTTTAAGGGTAAATTGAAACCGTATTGCTTGTAAAATTTAAACTGCCTTTTAAAGATGGTTTAATCTGTTTAAACTGCTGACATTCTTTCCTATTTTCAATTACCTAGCTCTTGAATATCTTCAAGTACACAAATTTTGAGAAAAACAGGAATTTTATCCTGTCTACTCAGGACCGCCTTGTTGGAGGTTTTGCTAAATGGCCAGATAGTCACCCCCAGTAACCATGATTTATTTTTTGCCATTAATAATCATTTTGCGTGTAATTGGGGGCACAAGCTTGTACCACTCTTCTAGACAAAAAATGGAGTAGATGCTTTTCTTAATAAACAAAGAGGCACACAAATGACAAGCTTTCAAGAAATCTGTATGTTTTATTTATGTGTGTGTGTGTGTGTGTGTGTGTGTGTGTTACTGTATATTAATCCGATTTGTGGACATTCTAACAGTGCCCTTTTAACCACATTTTTTTATATTTCTGTAAACGGACAGCAATGCATTTCTATGGGCAAACAGATGAGCATCCATTTACATCCTTTTCCATATTGGTCCATTTTTTCAAAAGGAACAAGTCTCCATCCTGTTCTGTTTAACTGTTTGCAACCTGAATGGTTGCAATCAACATCCATTTTTACATCCGTTTTTGTATCCGCCCATGGAGAACAATCATGACTTATCCATGCAGTCGGTCAGCAGGGATGGTTATAGACTGTTAAGACGCCAGTGGGTGTCAGCTCTTTAACTTCCAGTGTCTCCTCCCTGCTGTCAGGTGGATGATTCCCGGCAGACAGAATTTAAACAAAGGAGCTGTCGGCTTCTGTGTGCATCCAGCAATGATCACCATAGGTAATCACTGGCTGTGCAAAGAGCTGCAAATAAATACAGTCGCCGGCGACCTGTCATTAAAGTGAACAGGGCTGGAAGCCACAGCAGGAATCAGAAGATTCCTGCCTCTAAAATTCGCGCCTGCCCTAATCGCCAGTGTGAATGTACTATTATGCTGGTCCTACTGCTATTTAATATAGATGCAGGAACTAGGAATATATATATATATATATATATATATATATATATATATATATATATATAAAATCTCTATCAGTACACCTGGGGCAATCAATGGTGGAGAAGGATCATTAGTAAATACGTCATCTGGAATATGCAGTCAAATTTTGGCCACCAATTCACAAAAAGAACATTGGGGAACTGACTGGAGAAAGTACAGAGAAGGGCAACCAAACTGATAAGAGGCATAGAGGAGCTCAGCTATGAGGAAAGATTAGATGAACTGAATTCATTATCTCTTGAGAAGAGGCGATTAAGGGGGGATATGATCAACATGTTTACACCGTGTTCACTATATGAACCACTGATGTCTATTTGGAGTTATTCACCCTGAGGTCATCAGAGGACAAGGGGGGCACTCTTTACGTCTGGAGGAAAAGAAATTTAATCTCCAAATACGGAAAGGCTTCTTCACAGTAAGAGCTGTGAAAATGTGGAATAGACTTCCTCAAGAGTTGGTTCTGGCCAGCTCAGTGGATTGTTTTAAAGAAGACCTGGATTCTTTTTTGGATACACAGGATATAACTGGATACTAACATTTATAGGTAAAGTTGATCCATGGAATATTTGATTTGTCTCTCGGGGGATCAGGAATGAATTTTTTCCCCTGCAGGAGCAAATTGGGATCATGCTTTTACAGGATTTTTTGCCTTTCTCTGGATAAACTGTGGGTGTAGGATTACAACTGTGGTTTTTGTTTTTTTATTTTTGTTGTTGAACTAGATGGACTTTTCTTTTTTCAGCCAGACTAAGTGTGTGTGTGGACGACGCTATATAAGTACCTATGATAAATGAATAATATTCTCCACAACTGGTATAGGGGCACTCGTGGGTATTGCACAGGAGATAGATCAAAAGAGCAGCATTTTTACTGTCAGCTTTTCAATGCTGCTCAGTCCATTGTGAAAAAGAGCCTAACTATAGAGAGGTATAGCTCCAAGAAAATTTGATCAGGTAAGCCTCCCAATTACATCAAAGTAGGGATTCTTTCAGGGGGTGATCAAAAGAATACAGAAATCTATACTGACTAGATAAAATGAGAAGGCCTGTTCTAAAATATATTATATAGTTGCTATAGGTACTTAAATAGCGCCGTCAATTTACGCAGCGCTTTTTATATATATATATATATATATATAATATATTACATCAGTCCCTAACCCTCAAGGGGCGTACAATCTAAAGTCCATAACTGACATTCATACATGCACATACTAGGGCCAATTTAGACAGGATCCAATTAACTTAGCATGTCTTTGGAGAGTGGGAGGAAACCAGAGCACATAGAGGAAACCCGCACAGGGAGAACATGCAAATTCCAGGCAGATGGTGCCGTGGTTTGGGATATGATCCAACAATCCTAGTACTGCCAGGGGAAAGTGCTAACCATTTAGCCACTGTGCTGCCCACTGCTTGATACGAGTGACAGGTAGTTTTAGTATAAAAAATATGCTAAATTAACAAAGACCGAACATTTAAAAAAAAAAAAAAAAACACTTTTTTGTTATAAAAGTTTGGAAATTAATAATTGTTCTTCATAAAGTTAGGCCAAGATGTGTTCTGCCACATGTCTTTGGTGAAAATAACCCAAATCAGTATTTATTATTTAGTCTGTAGGAAAGTTGTAATTTGTCATAATTTTTTGGAAAATGAAGAAAATAAACAAATTCAGCCATACATTGTTTACAGCTGTCATGTGACCAGCTGTGATTGGTCACATGGTACTGGCAATGGGCCGGCACACAGATCTGTCCAACAGATCTCGCCACAGCACAGCTCTGCGGGCACGCACAAGGTGCGATCCGGTAAGGATGTCCTAGGACGCCCACCTAGATTGACGAGAGCTCCGCCGGGCCGTCATTTTCCTATTGGCCGGGTGGGAAGTGGTTAGTCGTATGCCAAAAAGTGTGGTTTTTCATGTATTTGTTTCCAATGTCCTTCCCTTCAGCTTGTTCAAGTAGCCATATACTTCTGAAAAAGAACAGACAAGGGCACACTCTCTTCGTGCATTACCGTGGTGTACCACGTGTTTAATAAAATAGACAAATGGATGTATACTCACAAACCAACGATATTAAAAGCAGTGTATATGGTCCACAAAAAGTCGCAAAAATGCTGTATCTTAGATGCGGATAAGCTAACGCATTTCGGGAGCTGAACCCCCTTCCTCAGAGCTAGCAATGTACCTACTGGCCACAAGCTTATATACCAACAAAATGTCAAAAGGAGGGTGAAAAGGGCCCTCCCACCCACTCCCAGCGGCCCAATCCCAGAGCACAAAACAAAAAAAAAAAAACCAAAGCAATCAAAATTACATGTAATGAACAGCAACCTGTATAGTGCATAAAGTACACGTAGACTGTTATACATGAAATGTGCTAGAGGTGGTCTTACATTTACCACCAAGGAGAGTAATCCTGACGCTTGATGGACGGTCACTATCCCAATGAAAACTGTCTCCAATGTGAAACAGCCAGGATGCTGCATAGCAATGGGTGAAGGGCAGTGTGTAAACATTGTGTATACATATAATGATGCAGTGCTATTGTAGAAAAATAAACAATCATGGGTGATAAAGTGTATATAACAGATAAAATATAAAAGGTCTAAGAATCAGACCTATCAGTGATCACACAGCAAGAGTGACCCCAATCCACATGGGGATATAATAAATTGTGACCCCCAAGTACCTTGATGGGACACAAAGATAGCAAACACTGATGTGAATCCCTGCTAAGGGATCAAAACAACACACTATGTGAAACACACATCACACATAAGGTGATTAAAAAGTCCATAAATTGGTGTAGTGATCTTCCTGTTCATGCATGGTGTAGATGTCAAAACACTCTCAATGTGATCCCCAAAGGAATGGCTATAATGGCCTCTCGCCTCTACTTTATGACCCTGCAGGGCCACAAAGCAAAAAACTCCTCTGGATCCTCAGAGTAACCACTCTATTATTCAGATGGGTGCCAACAGATAATCACTAATCACCATTCCACTGGACCAGTCTGCAGGCGGCTTAGCACTTTCAGAGATGTCATAAATCATATGCCCATAGAACAGAAAGAGAACATAATCTCCATAGTGTATTACTGTTTAATGGCATATATCTGTTGGCACCATCTGAATAATAGAGTGGTTTCTCTGAGGATCCAGAGGAGTTTTTTGCTTTGTGGCCCTGCAGGGTCATGAAGTAGAGGTGAGAGGCCATTGCAGCCATTCCTTTGGGGATCACAATGAGGGTGTTTTGACATCCACACCGTGCATGAACAGGAAGATCACTACACCAATTTATGGACTTTTTAATCACCTTATATGCGATGTGTGTTTCACATAGTGTGTTGTTTTGATCCCTTAGCAGGGATTCACATCAGTGTTTGCTATCTTTTGTCCCATCAGGGTACTTGGGGGTCACAATTTATTATATTCCCATGTGGATTGGGGTCACTCTTGCTGTGTGATTACTGATAGGTCTGATTCTTAGACCTTTCATATTTTATCTGTTTTATACACTTTATCACCCATGATTGTTTATTTTTCTACAATAGCGCTGCATCATTGTATGTATACGTGATTTAGTCCTTATGGCATAGGATAGGATGTTAGCTGCTTCCTAATTATCTATATATATTTATATTTTTATTAGTTTACATAAGAGCGCAGGAAGATCTCTACTCTTTTGTGTAAACATTGTGGTTGTTACTTGATGAACAAGTGTAAGTGGAAGCCATATACTTCTTATCTAATATTGAAAACCAATGATAAAAGGGAATATTTTTGACAATTCCTCCTTCATTTTACACATTGAACGTTCTCTGCAGTTAGATTATTGAAAGCAAAGGTCACTGTAAAGTTTCTCAAATAGCTGTTCTGCCCATATTTTATGTTTTGTGCTCCCCACCATTCTATATATCCACCAATGTATGAATTACCTTGTTAAAAAGAATTATATATGTATATTTTACATCATTCTAGATGCCTTGCATGCATATTTTGGGATCTGTGGCCTTTCGCTGATGGGAGAGTCTGGTATTAATGAAATCCACCCAGCGCTGAATGTAAGCTTAAAAACTTTTAAACATCTCCAGCAGCTCCATGAAGCCTGGAAAGCCAAGAACTGTGAAAAGAGTTCAAACCATCTTCACCATCTCAGCAGTGACTGACATACAGCTACATCATGTTAAGTTGAAGAATCATAGTCCTTCTAAGCCATGTATTAACAAAGTGAGCTTCGTTTGTACTGGAGTAATTGGATCAAAGTGTTGGGTTAGTAACACTGCTTCCTAATAACATTCAACCACTTCTCCTGTACCCTGAAAAGAAATGTTGGTCCTTTATTACTTTTAAGTGCTAATTATACAGTAACCAGTAGCAGACAATCGGAACCTGTACCAGTCTGGCTTTGAAATCTGGTTGCAGTGGGTTGCTGTACTTTAATATTTGCAGTTAAGAGTATGAACTCTATTGAATAAGATTGATAATTTAATGATTTGTTATTAAAAGTAATTTCTTTCATGAGAAAAATAACATAACCATGGTCTTCAAAAATTACTTATTAGGGAGATGAGGGTCTTTTGACTACAACATTTGTTCTGTATGATGCTCACTGAATTCAGTTATCTTTTTGTACCGTCAGTATTTAACTAGTTTGATCACATTCGGAGAATACACAATGAGTTGGAGTCTGCCGAGAAACCGTAATGATGGGTGAGTGCCACTTATCTCCCAATATAGCATAATCCTGATGCAATTTAAAAACATAATTGCCCAGGAAAAACAAGATGGATAGAACCTTTATCTAATGTCATGTGAAAATGTAAGCAATTTAGACCTTTTCAATGTGTTTGAAAAGGCAAATAGATCTGTGATGCAGAATTCATAGTAGTTAAAAAATATTACAACACCATAAAATACTCTAAAAACCATAATAAAATATTCAATGATTAATAAAATAATCAGTTCCTTCATAAATCCAGTGCATATTCACTGCATACATCAATATTGTCCATGCGCTATAAAAAAAAAAAATGTGCAAGTGTTCATACAAAAATTACATTTGGTGTCAGGGAAAACATTTTTTTAAATGGTGATATCAATAAAGCGCTTTAGAGAACACCTTCCTCAACAAGCAAATATGAACTTCATTTGAGTGAGTATACTGGGGGCTGAGATGTACCTGCTCCTCATTTATGTGTTTCTTCCACTCACCATCTTGCACAAAAGCCACGCTGTTGTTTGTCCATTTGTCCTCTCCCCTTAGTGCTGAGGGCTAGCACTTTTTGTGTAGGTAGATTTCTTTTCTTTTTATTCGGTTGTAATAAAGATTGTTTGCACAGTGAATCTCTTCCTTCCAGCACTTTATGGCGGAGCTTGTTGGGTAATATAGCAGAAATCCAGCTTCCATGCTGTTCTTTCTTTTTTTCATTTGCTAATCTCTGTCACCAGAGCCCTTACATTGAGTCCATATCCTAGGGCTACACACTCTTCAAGACCTCTTAAAGACCTTGTCTAAAAGTGACCTCTAGTCTCAAAGCCCTGGCTGCACCCTGCTTCCACCTGGCCCATTTACCGGAGTTCTTTTGTAATACACCTCTCTGCTCATATAAAGTTTTTCTAGATGCAAGTTGTAAGAATTAAAGATCTCTTAATTCTCCAAGTGTAGGGGCCATGTTAGAAACTTCTTTTTAGTACTACCATTCTGCCAACCGGGAGATTGTCACTGCTAGGATAGTGTCAGTCCAAACTGATTCAAAATAACCTATGATGCAGGTGAGAGGTGAATTGCTTATATATTTACTGAAATCATTATGGATTTTAACAAACGCTAAATCCCAGCATCACACAACGTAAGGCATCTGCACAAGACGTGTTGGAGGTTTCCATGGAGTCTATACTAGACCGTGTACCAGCATTTTTTGACCAGCTTATTAACTTAAAGTTATATTAAAGGTTCATATGTGGTTTTTTGTTTTGTAAATAACAAACATGGTATACTGGTATAAAGCAGCAGCTCTAGACAAGGCCTAATAGAGTGCTTAAAGTGTTACTAAACCCAGGACCTTGCATTCACTATATGTGGTCTCCCGCAGTACACAACATGGAAATGCAATTATTTTATTTTAAATATAAACTGCTAAATACCTTTTCTCATCAGCAGTATATAGCAGTCTTGCGACTTCTATCAGTGTCCTGCTGAGCACTGGTTAATTTTACTGGAGTTTTCATTCTGCTCTGCCTATCCTATGAGGCTGCATAATCCCTGATCCTCTGACTGGATAGTGCTGATTGGTCCTGTGCTGATCACATGCACCCTACCAAAGAAAAAATACTAATACACACTGAACTGAGCATGTGTAGAGTGACTCCTAGAGCTCTGTGCTATCAGCAGAGGGATTGGGGAGAGTAGAAGAAGGGGAGGAAGAAGAAAAGACATGCTTAAACTGCCTTTTTACACCACGCCAACCCTCCTGGCTCCTCCCTCTTGACCAGTGCTCCCAATAGTAAGCCGCTTGTTATGGGAGCACTGGTGTGTGTGCTCGCTCCCGAGCCCCTCTCTATGCGTCCATAAGACCTAGAGCCCTGGCTCTGCCCCGCCCCTGCTTTTTCCTTACTGGCTGTGATTGACAGCAGTGGGAGCCAATGGCTTCTGCTGCTGTTTCAGCCAATGAGTAGAGAGAGTCCATAGATAACCAAGGCTCCCATGCACATTCCTGGATTGGGAGGGTGCTCTGGTGAGTATTGGGGGGGCTGTGAAGGGAGAAGCGCACAGATTTTTCATATTGATGAGTAGAATGTATGAATGTAAAAAACAGCCTTTACAACCAGTTTAAGTGGTCAAATCCCATTGGTGAATGCATTTATTTTCAGTGTTTGGCAGAGTTATTGTGGCACACTACTTGGTTTACAACTTGTTGAGGAAATTTGCAAATTTTGGATAAACATTTTCTCTGGAGCACTTTATTGAGCATTTCCTCAAGCTGCACATGTCATTTTTGTTTAAATGCTTGAACAGTTTTTGTTCATCTTGATTTGGACACGACTGATTCTAAACACTGATTACATTTATACAGGCACTGATTTAGTATATTCATCATTGGCTATTTATATGTTTTATAGTATTTTTTTAGGGTGATTAACTAATTTTAAACACTGTAGTAATTACAAATGTTTGTTATTTTATACAGCTACTTGGGTTGTTTTATTTTTAAGAACATCTATCCAGCCTCTGAGGCAGCAAAGCAACCACAAACCATAACATTTTCACCCCCATTTATAACAAACTATAAATGCAGCGCTATGTACATAGTTGAGCCAATAGTATTTTTTCACTTTTAGTATTTTTTCCACCATGTTTCGGTTTTTACCCAGTGGTTCTCCCCAAATGCTGTTTTGATTTACATCAAAGATATCTCCTGTACTGTGGCTAAACAACTCTTATCTTTGATTCATGCATCCTTGCGTCCACAGCACATTTATCCAGTATGTGGTCTTGGCCTATATGTTCAATATGACAATCTGTAGTCTTGCCTTAATGTTCTTTTTTTCCCTGGTAAACCTCCTGTGCAGGTTGAATTGGTGCCTGTACTTTTCACAATAACATTATCTGGGAGACTTCTTTTAGCATCCCTCTGTCAGATTTTGAACTAAATTTGCTGGCCAGCCAGTCCTGGACAAACGGAGAGTCGTTTGAAATCTACACAATTTTAGAGAATAATTTTACAGTAGAATGGTTGATTTCAAATAATGTGGTAATTCTTTAGATCCTTTGCTAGACCCAGGCATCAATAAACCTCTTTCTGATGTCTTCAGAGAGCTCTTTTGATCTTGGCATGATGACACCACACACCAATAGCAAGTAGAGTACATAAGACAGGATCTACCTGCATACCATATCCCCAATAAGGTTCTAATTATTGGCATCTAATGGGTTTGAAGGGTTGATAAATGTGGGTGTGTATCCAACTTTTTTGATGTCATAAAATCATTAATTCAATTTGGTTATGAAAATACACCATGTCAATTTTATGTGTAAAATATCACCTTTATCTGTATCCACTGTTTAGATGAAGATCAATGTTTGCCTGTTCAAATAAGTTGAAAAAGTTAACTCCCAAGTGGTTTACCTACTATGCATACAGTTGTGTGAAAAAGTAAGAGGGATGGATAGGAACAGACTTTTTTTTTTTTTTTTTTTTTTTTTATAAAGAGTCTGGTTCTATACTGTATATTAGGTGCTCTCCACTGGTTACAAAAACAGTAAAGTGATTGTTATATTTAAAAGTTTCAGCAGATTTTCTTTTTATGTTAATTTTTTTTTTTTCATGTCAGAGTCCTTGAAATATAGATTTCTACAATGATATATTCTATAACTTGGGGACCTTGAAATGTTTTACCTAATAGCTGCTTGTGTCGGATGTTTAGGACACAGAGATTGCCTTAGGAAATAGAGGGGTTCAAGCAGAAACTACTCAAGTGCTTGCTTTTTTTTTTTTTTTTAACCTACCTGCACCAGAAATTTCATGTACACTTGAATTGACCATTGAAGGCATATCCCTCACCTTTCCTTTCATATAGTGTTTGTGTGTTGTCCTATATACACACACTGCATAATATGCTCAGTAGAAAGAACTGTTTTAGCATAGATCATGAATTCACCATTAATCATGTCCTGATTCCCACAGATGTTTCACATCCTAGAACCTCCACTGTCTGTTGAAAGCAGTTTTGCATGTTTGACATAGGAATACCATGTTATTATGAGGAGCTACACAATTTATGCCCATGTTTCTTGCACAGTATTGCCAAGTACTGACCTCAGAATGTGTGCTTTTTGCTGCAGTACAAAATAATATTATTTAACCAAATAAATTAGTCTATCATGATTTATATGATTTTTTTTTTTTTTTTTTTTTTTTTAATAAAACATAACTGTACAGCAAATTTCTGGGGACCCTTGTTTTGATTTATTATTTACTACATGTACTTGTATAGCACCATCAATTTACACAGCGCTTTACACATACACTGCTCAAAAAAATTAAAGGAACATTTTTTAATCAGAGTATAGCATCAAGTCACTTAAACTGGGATATTGATCTGGTCAGTTAAGTAGCAGAGGGGGTTGTTAATCCGTTTCGGCTTCTTTGATGTTAATAAAATTATC